TAATAACCATGTCCGAACTGATCAATATAGGGAGCGATGACAAGGGCTGTTATCTAGTACTTGGGAGGTGGAGGGCCGAGGATCAGAAGCTCAGTGTCGTCTTATATATAACCAGTTCCAGATCAGTCTGGGCTACATGAGATCTCCTTTCAAAGACAAATCTGATCAATATAGGAAATGCTAACAGTTTCCATTCCATTCTACAGGGCTGGTCATTTGTAGAAGGGGGATTGTCTACCCCTAATTCTCCCCCTGCCTCCCAAAAGTCCTTTCTTTTACTTTTAAGGATAACTGACTGCCCACTGGGTCAGCTGCTTCCTGGGGCGTTATCATTTAATCCTTCTACAATCTTTACTGTAAATAAGGAAGCTGAGGTGTAAAGGTTACAGTGGCTTGCACAGTCACGCACAGCTGCCACGTAAGTGGCACAGCGAGGAAGGAGCCTCGAAGAGGACACCGAACTGCCCACGGTTACTTCCCCACAATGGTCCACTACCTTGCTGATTTCTACAGAAATGCTGGGGCTTACAGCAAACTTCTGGTGTTTGCTACTGCAGCCAGAATTGGGTAAGATTGAAAAACTCTAAGGTGAGCTCTAGCCCAGGTTACGTCTCCAAAGTCACTACTATGCCTGCAATGGTAGTGATTTTGGATTTTAATGAAGAGGGAGAAGGAGGGAGGGAGGGAGAGAATTAATCAACTTTTTTCTCCCTTAATTCTTTCTTTCATCAGAATTTCCTAGTATGTTTCTAAATAAAACACAGCTCCTCCCATCACAGGTTTGGATGAGCTACTCCAATTCCTAGAGGTTAATACTCAGCACCTTAGCCAGGCAGTGGTAGGCAAATCTCTGCATTTGAGGCCACCCTGATCTACAGACTAAGTTCCATGACAGCCAGGGCTACACAGAGAAACCCTGTCTCAAAAAACCAAACCAAACAAACAAAAACCCTCCACACTTTTCTTAGTTTCTCACCTTCTCAGACTTTTAAATGTGGCTCCTCTCAGTTCTCATAACTGAATAGTGAAGAAACCAGAGTGCTTACTTACCCTTGTAACCATTCACCAACACGCCTAACCTTCTGGTTCCTTTGTTCATTAGCGTTCCCCTGTCACCGGGCTAGTTTCTGTCTAATTAGATTTTAATAATTATTCTGTTTAGGAGGGAGTGCAGAGCTAGCTGCAAGAACATCTGAGCACTAAAACAATGAGAAAGGGCCAGACAAAAGGTTTTAGGCCTAAGCATTTCCAAAGTAGCCTAGCCAAAAAAAAAAAAAAAAAAAAGTAACCCCTAGCTACTACAGGGGCTGGAGAGATGGCTCAGTGGGTAGAGCATTGGTTATTCTTCCAAAGACCCAGGTTTGGTTCCCAGTGTGCACATGGCTGTATACCATCTGTATGACAACCATCTGTAACTCCAGTTCCAGAGAATCCAACACATGTATGTGGTGCAAAGACATTCACGCAGGCAACCCCCCCCCCCAACATAAAACACGGTGAATAAGATCAAATAAATGCTACAACAAGATGATGTGTACAGTAGCAGAACACTGGCCTAGCACGCATAAGGCCAGAAATTCAATCCCTAGCACCACAAAAGATAAAAACTATCCTATGAGTTCACCTCTCAACCCTTCTTTTTCAGAGTTTGGAGATATACACACATGAAATACACACTGATGGCATGGGCCCACTGTCTGAGGTATCTTCTCCGAGATCAAGGCTCAGTTATACCTGACCCCCACCCCCACCCCCTACCCCGCTGCTAATCAGCATTAGCTCTGTTCTAAATTCTTACTCATTTCTGTTCCAAGCATGAGTCACGTCATCTCCACAACTCTATTAAAACCCCGCCCTGCTTTTGTATTTCTCCTCCTTCAACTGGCTAAAACTCAACTGCTAGAATGAACTTCCTTTCAACAAATGGCTCTTATCAACACTCTTCCTTCCATTTCCACCACATGAGCCACATTTTTAAACCAGCAAGGATTAATTTCATCAGCTTTCTTCTCTCTGAATACCAGTTTCTTTTCTTTTTTTTAAGAGAGAGAGAGCGAGCAAGCACGCACATGCGAGCACACATGCACGTGCATTGGTGTTTTTACCTATATGCATTTGTATGATGTTGCCAGATCCCTTGGAACTGGAGTTACAGACAATTGTAAGCTGCAGCGTGGGTGCTGGGAATTGAACTTGAGGCCTCTGGAAGAGCAGCCAGTGTTCTTAACTGCTGAGCCCCATGAATGGCAGTTTCTAAAGAGACCATCTATTCATTTTTAAACCGCTCCACTGTGCATGGCTCTCTCTGCACCTCAGTCTTAGACCTGCCCCTCGAATAGCCCTGAGGTGCCCTGCTCAGCTTGTTTTTTCTACAACGCCTCCCCGCACACTGGGAGTGGCTAGTCTTTTCTCACCTTTTTCCTTTATATTTTCTTCTGGATTCCTTCCACATGTGGGGGTAGGAGGGGTGACATTACTTTAAAATGCTCTATAATGGAACTCCTTCTCTGGAATTCTCTTACTGGTCAGCCTGTACTGTGCTGATTAGGAACATAGAAATATACCACAATTTGCAAAAGGTTCAAAAGGAACAGGGCCCTGGTCCCTTGTGGGTGCTCAGCAGATATTTACCATCTTTCACTCAGGGAAGAGGTATCGGAAAGACACCCACTGTTATCCACAACCATTTGATGATACGGCCCAGACCCCCAGTCCAGCCCACTTACTAGCTGGAAAGGCAGCTACTGAAGTTCCTGCTTCTCTGATGAGCTTTTCCAGTTTACAGCATGCAGCCAGGAGGAGAACTTTGGAGGCAGGCCCTGGAGCTGTAAAGCTTGGGCCCAAATCTGACCATTAGCAACTACGAACTCCATGTCCTGGTTTCTTCTTCTGGAATAATGGGAAACAACAGAGCCTACCTCCTAAGCTGGGTGTGAGGACTCAGCTGCCTGCGCAAAGAAGGCCCTCAGAATGGTGTGTAAAGTGTTGGTTTGTTAGTGGTCTCAAGATGATTAACTCGCCCCCATGGGACTGGACTAGGCCCTCTGGATATGGAAGACGGTTGATTGGCTCGAACTGTTTGGGGGGCACCCAGGCAGGGGGATAGGGGTATGTCCCTGGTCTATGGGTAGTTTCTGGAATCCAGTGCCTGTGGTGTGACACCTTGCACAGCCTTGGTGCAGTGGGAAGGGGCTTGGACCTGCCTAGGCTCAGTGTGCTGGGCTTTGCTGATTCCCCATGGGAGACCTCAATTTGGGGGATGTGGGGATGTGGGGTGGCTTGGGAAAGAGGGCTGGGAGGTGGGAGGAGGGAGGGGGGTCTGTGGATAGCATGTGGAGTGAGTAGAAAATTTCTTAATAAAGAAAAAAAAAAAGATGATTAACTCCTCTGTCAGTCCAGGAGCCAAACTCATAGAGGTCAAAATCTGTCAACTTGAGTACGACTAACTACATAATACCACTAACTAACTGGTAAATAATCTGACATTCACTTACTGGTGGGTAAAAACTAGGCAAACTCCATAAACTCAGCCTGGTTCCCCGGATCATTGCTAAGGTTGCTCTGAGATTGTTAACACACACCACAGAGTACCAAGCACACTCAGGTACTCAGGGTGAGTCATTTCCTTCTCCCTGCTTATAGATAGATTAGGAAACAATTCAGAGCTGCCCAGAAGAAACACTAACAGTTGCCCAAAAGGAAGAAGTTGAGAAGCCTGGGTCCTCCCTTCTGTCACATGACTGGGTGGTCAAAGACACATTTCTTACCTCCTAGGCGTGCACTGTACTTGTAGACAGTGGTTATGGAGCAGACAGCACATCTGCCCTGCTGAGGCCAAGGCGGTACTCTGGTCTCTATCGGCACTGGGAAACAAGCACTGCTCTCACTGTGGAGTTCTAAGAGCACTCGGGTTGGAGTGCTTTTCAGGATAAGTGGTATACACCTCTGCTTCACAAGTCACCCTAATCAGGCTGATTCTGGCCCCAATTCCCGTCTGTGCAGCAGTTATTTCATCTCCCATTGGGGATATCAGAGAGGTCCTCTGGGGTCTCATAGTATCCTTGAGGTCTGGGTATTCCAAACCTTTTCCAGCTCACCGTCAAAGCTGCTCTGGACTGCAGTCATGCTGCTGGGTCCTGCAAGACACTACTCAACTCTTCAAAAGCCGAAGCAATGGGCATGAAGCTCAACCCTGACCACTTGTGGAGTGATAGATTTGTTCTAAAGGGTCCAAAAGGCCATCATTTTTCTTTCGGGGAGACAGTGCCAGGGACTGTACCTAGGACCTCCTGTATAATGTGCAAAGGCGCCATCACCGAATTTCTCACTAGCCCCAGAAGGGGCCATCACACAGCAGCGGGAGGAGAGGTCTGGAGTCAGCTCCTCTCAAAAGCGCTGCTGTTCAGAAGCTGCTGTGGACAAATTACTTGATCTTTCTGTCCCTTGCTCTCTCAGTAAAACGACTGTGAAGAGAGCCATACAAAACAATGTATGAAGAGCACATGGCCTCAGAAAAGCTAAGCACTGTGGGTACGCTTTTCTTGTGGTGCCCATCATGGACCACCTTTGGTGACAGATGACTGTGGATGTATCGTGTCTCCTCCCTTCTAGACTGTAAAGTCCTTCGTGGCAGGGTCTGGAAGGGAGTCATTACAGCAGTGACCACCACCGGGAGATACGAACTTGAACTCAACCCTGGGTCCATGGCTGGTCGGGTTATTTGGAGGAAATTAAGGATCTCTACAGAGCTCTGTCTCCATCACAACATGGGAATAAGACACGCAACAAGGGGTCCCCTGTCTGGCCAGATCCGTGGTATCAACACAACTGAGGCTACTCCACAACAGACGGACCAGAGATGGCGAGTTATCTCCCATTCCTGTGCTCCTTATAGCGGCCGACTAGGTTTGGAGGTTTACGTGCCTGAGGCGATGCACCACCCACACAAATTCAGAAATACCGAGAAGTGGGGATCAAGATGCCAAGCAGGACAGCCTTACCTCTGGAAAATCTCCTGCAGCGTTTCCCGCGTGAAGGCGTTGCTGTCCTGGAAGACGTTGTTGAGGGCGTGAAGGGCACACAGCTCCCTGTGCTGCTTCTCATGGTAGATTTGGGGGGGTGCTGCCTGGGGAAGCTCCAAGGATTCAGATTTGGACTTGTCCCCTTTCCATGGCATGCAACTCATGTTTTTCGATTTAGGTTCCAGACAGAGCCAATAAACACCCCCACTCCTTCCCTCCTGAATCAGAAGGTCTAGGCTTCTCTGTCTTCAGATTCCTGAGGTTTCACCTTATTCTCTGGTGTCCATGATTTATGCTTTGTCACTGGGAGAAAAGGTTGGACTCAAAAGGGACCAAAAAAAAAAAAAAAAAAAAAATCCACCTCTTCTGTCTTCTCGGTAGAAAAAAATAACTTTTGGATTAGTTTATTTAGCCACCACTTTCAAAGTGCAGAATGAAAAAGAACATATAAAACGTAAGATTCCTCCCTTTCACTACCTCCCCGCCCACCCCCTTTGGAGTGGGGAAAAAAAAAAAAAAAAAAACACGCTTTCCTGGCTGTGTTTTCCTCTCTGCAGATGCCAACTAGGCCTCAATGCAGGAGGGCAAAGCCGAATGGGTCACATCGCTCCTTTTCTTCCATTTCGTGCGAATCTCAACGCCACGGACTCCGAAGACTCGGCTGGATGGTGAAGAAGAAAACGCCCGAAGCCAACAGCTAGCGAGGGCCGGCGGGCGTGCGGCCGCGGGCCGCGCGGGGGCTTCGGGGGCAGTCCTCCATGCCCGCCGGCAGGCTGGCGGACTCGGCCCAGCGGAGGAGACGCTTGGCCTGGGCGCGGGCGGAGCCGCGGGAGGGCCGGGGAAGGGGAGCGGCGGCCGGGGCGCCGCCGCAGGGAGGTCCCCGCCGGGCCCGCGAGGGTGCGGCCGGACGCCCGCCTCGCCCCGCGCAGCCCTGGCCCACCCGGCTGGCCGTCCCCGCCGCGACCTCCCGCCGTCACGTGAGGCGAGCTCCGGCGCCCTCCCGTTGCCAGCCCCGCGGGGACCGCTCGTCGCCCCCCTCGGCCTCCACCGGGAGAGCTGGCGGGCCACCACCTGGGCCGCGCGCGGGCGAGCAGGAGGCAGAGCGGGCGGGCGGGCGGGCGGGCGGGCACGCGCACCTGAGCCCGACGTCAGCGGCGCTCACCCGGCGCGCGCCCCGGACACGCCCCCGCGTCGACCCCGCCCACCAACCTCGCGTCACCCCTGACGTCCGTGTGAAGCAATCTGCGCCCGCGGAAGGGGGGGGGGATCTCCGCGGGGCTTGTGGTTCCGGGAGCGGACCGGCGGGGCTGCGGAGCCCCGCAGTAGCGGGGAAGGTCGATCTGTAGCTTCTCCGCAGCTCCGCCCCGGCGCCGGCTCCCTCCTCGGGGCGGAGTGCTTTCTTGAGCCTGGAGAGCGGCTGCTGCCGCCCTGGCCCACTTATGTTCACCAGATTTCCAGACACTTTACCAACGCGGTCGGGCACAGTTCTTGTGGTTGGTGAACCCGACCGCCTCCTGTTTTCTAGGAGCGTTGAGGGCAGGAGCCTCGCCGGGAGTCATATTTCAAATGGAAAGGAGAGTTCTATTTCAGATCCTTGGTGTCGTATTCACTTTCACGCCACACAAACCACTGCCCTTTTGCTCTGCAACCTCCTCTTGGTGGCTGTCACTAGGTGTCTTCCTTTCTGTGTTTTCTTTTGTCCTTCCCGCCCTTCCTTTTAGACTTCTCTCTCTCTCTCTCTCTCTCTCTCTCTCTCTCTCTCTCTCTCTCTCTCTCTCTCTCTCTCTCTCTCTCTCTCTCTCTCTCTCTTTCTCTGTGTGTGTATGTGTGTGTGTCCATCCGTCCTCTAGCCCAGCTGGCCTCGAACTCATTAAATAACCAAGAACGACTAGTTTGTGCAGGGCCTGGTACTCCTATCAACTAGGGCTCCCTGTTTTCTGAGTTTAGAGCTGAGTACATTGTGACAAAAGGCAGACAATTTGAAGTTTCCGGTGGATTTAAATTGTCATTGTTTCTAGCTCCCTTCCTTTCGGATTTTGGTTTGGAAATCAACAGATTCGCACTTTCAAAGCAGTAGTTCCTCCAATCCTCAAGACTATTCCAATCCACAGTGTTATGCAACACGTCTGAGTGATTGCCACGTGGTAGGGAGTCCTCTGACTCTACCTAGACTACTTTTGAATTATCTTAAAGGTTTGTGTGATTTGTAAACCACCAAATAGTTACAGTGTATTTACGTAGGATTTAGCTCCTAGGGACTTGCTGCTGTGCCGCCAGCATTATTGTAAACACTTTACATATATAAATTAACTTGTTTGCTGCCAAGTGTCATATCAGGCATTTCTCTCTTCTAGGGAGAACACTGACGCACAAAGAAGGTGACCAAGTTGTTTGAAATCACTGTATCTGTAATGAATTAAGGGTTTGAACTTGGGCTAAACTGTTTTCAGAAAGAGAACCTAAAGATGGATAGGGAATTACCTCTAAAGTGTCACTTTTTACACTTATTCTCACTTTCAATTCAAAAAGTGAGTGTTCCATGTATCATTTCTGCGCAAATCCTATAGTGAGAAGGACTTGTTATTTTCAGTCAGGTATCAAGGTATTCTGAAACTGACCTCTTCCTGGTCATAAGATGCTAAATATTAACCAAAGCAATAGAGTTAATACAAGTGACACCTCTGCTCACACCCTCAGACAAGTAGTGAGCAACCACCAATTGAATTCTGAATACCTGGAGATACTTTCAGAACCCACAAATAAGGTCTACAAGGCTGCCTCTCACTTCAGATGCCACTCAGGAGTCTCAACCACTGGAATTTCTGGCCTACCTACTCTATAAACATTCTCATGACCCTTCCTTGATCCAACTTAATCTGCTACAATAGGTCACTCAACCCAGGGATGCACTATACTTGCATTTACCAGTTTATTACAAAGAATAACATGAAGTGTACAGAAGAACAGTCAAATGAGAGAGACATACAGTAAAGTATGTAGGAAGGGGGCTTCCATATGCCCATTCTGGGTGAGACATCCTCAGAAACCTTCTTAGGGCTTGAGAATCGATTCAGTCACTGAATTGCTCACAGCATAAGTGAGGACCTGAGTTTGGCTCTCCAGCACCCACATAAAAAGCCAGGCAGGAGGGTATATGCCTTGTAATCTCAGGAGAAGCAGAGGCATGAAGATCCTTAGGGTTTCCTGGGCAGCTAGTTTGGTCAAATCAGTAAAATGAAAGACTCGTCTCAAAAAAATAAGACAGAGGGGCCTGGAGAGGTTGTCCAACAGTTAAGAGCACGATGCTCTTTCAGAGTTCTCAGCTCCCACATGGCACTCACAGCCACCTGCAACTCCAGTTCCAGAGGATCGGATGCCCTCTTTCAGCATCTGTGGGCACCAGGCATGCATGTGGTGCACATACAATAAACAGGCAAAACAGTCATATACATAAAATAAAAATAAATCTTTTTAACAGTGGCATGATGATCCATGCCTTCGGGAGACAGAGGCAGATGGATAGCTGTGAGTTGAGCATATGATGATGATGATATATACACACATATATACATATACATATATACACATATATACATATACATATATACATATGTGATGGAGATGGGACTGGTAAGATGGTTCATCTAGTAGAGGTGTGTGCTGTGAAAGCACAAAGACCTGAGTCTGATCACCAGAACCTATGTAAAGACGGAAGGAGGGAGCCACCTCCACAAAGGTGTCTTCAAAGTACCACGTGTGTGCATTGCATATGTGCCCACCACACATCACACACACAATAATGAGTAACTTTAAAAAGAAAAAAAAGGAAGAGTGGTTGAGGAGGCACCCAGTGTGAATTTCTGGCCTCCACACATGTAAGTACACATGTGCATGCATGCATAACACACACACACACACACACACACACACACACACACACACACACACAAAACCTTCATGTATCCGGTTCTCTGTTAGACTTTGTCCTTTAGAGGAAGGTTGTCATTTTTATTTTATTTTTGTGTATGGGTGTTTTGTCTGCATGTATGTTTTTGTACCACGGGGATGCCTGGTGCCCTAGAATGCCAGAACTGAGTTATAGATGATTATGAGCAACCCTGTGAGTACTGAGAATCAAACCCCTGCCCTCTGGAACAGCAGCCAGTGCTCTTAACCACTGAACCATCTCTCCAGTCCCCTTAGTTAGGGTTTCTATTGCTGTGAAGAGACAACATAACCATGGCAACTCTTTTTTTCTTTAAAGTCATCTTTTTTTATAATTTATTTATTTTTATTTTATGTACGTTGGTGTTTTTCCCTGCATATATGTCTGTGCGAGGGTGTCAGATCCCCTGGAACAGGAGTTATAGACAGTTGTGAGCTGCATGTGGCTGTTGGGAAGTGAACCCAGGTCCTCTGGAAGAGCAGCCAGTGCTCTTAACCCCTGAGCCATCTCTCCAGCCCCATGGCAACTCTTAAAGAGGAAAACATTTAATTGGAGTGGCTCACTTACTGTTTCAGAGGTTCAGCCCATTATAATCATGGTGGGGAACATGGCAGCATGCAGACATGGTGCTGGAGTAGTAGCTGAGAGTCCTACATCTTGCAGGCAACAGGAAGTCAACTGAGACACTGGGTGGTATCCTGAGTATAGGAAACCTCAAAGCCCGCTCCCACAGTGACACATTTCCTCCAACAAGGCCATACCCACTCCAACCAAGTCACACCTCCTAATAGTGCCACTCCTTATGAGATTATGGGGCCAATTACATTCAAACTACCACACCATGTTTCAGGGAGGGATTTTATGGAAGTTTCGTTACATAAGTATCATAGATGAAATCATTAGCCATGGGTGACCAACTCAAGCTGCAGTCTTTTCTTTCCCCAAAGAGTGGGTCATGGGACCAAACTCTCTTTTTAAATCTGTCTGTGAAAATTCTCTGTCCAGCTGACTTGCTGGTATGCAGAAAGAAAATGTCACTCTGGAGACTCCAATAGTTTAAGGAACTATTTAATAGGAGATAGACTAAGACCTACCACACCTTTCTTATTGCCCAATCGCTAGTGAAGAAAAAAATGCCTTGATATTTGGGTTTTCTAAGAAATCAAAATTTCATTTATTTATTTATTTAGGTTTTTTGATAGTGAGTTTCTCTGTGTAGCCTTGGCTTTCCTAGAACTCACTCTGTAGGCCAGGCTGGCTTCGAACTCACAGAGATCTGCCTGCCTCTGCCTCCAGAGTGCTGGGATTAAAGGCATGCACCACCACTGCCCGACAAAATTTTAATATTTTAACTACATCATGGGATCAGATAAAAGAGTATATAGGTTGAGTAATGAGCAATTTACCCAGGAAAAAAGGGGGGCATCAAAATAACTTATCAGAACTCCTTCAGTAAAGTGGCAGGATACAAGATCAACTCAAAAAAGTCAGTAGCCCTCCTATACACAAATGATAAAAGGGTTGAGAAAGAAATCAGAGAAACATCACCCTTTACAATAGCCACAAGTAATATAAAATATCTTGGGGTAACACTAACTAAACAAGTGAAGGACCTAGTTGATAAGAACTTTAAGTCTCTAAAGAAAGAAATTAAAGAAGATATCAGAAAATGGAAGGATCTCCCATGCTCATGGATAGGTAGGATTAACATAGTAAAAATGGCAATCTTGCCGGGCGGTGGTGGCGCACGCCTTTAATCCCAGCACTCGGGAGGCAGAGCCAGGAGGATCTCTATGAGTTCAAGGCCAGCCTGGACTACCAAGTGAGTTCCAGGAAAGGCGCAAAGCTACACAGAGAAACCCTGTCTCGAAAAATCCAAAAAAAAAAAAAAAAAAAAAAAAAATGGCAATCTTACCAAAAGCAATCTACAGATTCAATGCAATTCCCACCAAAATCCCAACACAATTCTTCACAGACTTGGAAAGAACAATATTCAACTTCAAATGGAAAAAAATATAAGGATAGTTAAAAGAATCCTGTATAATAAAGCAAACTCTGGAGGCATCACCATCCCTGACCTCAAGCTCTACTATAGAGCTATAGTAATAAAAACAGCTTGTTGCCAGGCGGTGGTGGCGCATGCCTTTAATCCCAGCACTCGGGAGGCAGAGCCAGGTGGATCTCTGTGAGTTCAAGGCCAGCCTGGGCTACCAAGTGAGTCCCAGGAAAGGCGCAAAGCTACACAGAGAAACCCTGTCTCGAAAAACCAAAAAAAAAAAACAGCTTGTTACTGGCATAAAAACTGACATACAGACCAATAGAATCGAATTGAAGACCCCGACATTAATCCATGCACATATGAACACCTGATTTTTGACAAAGAAGCCAAAACTATACAATGGAAAAAAGAAAGTATCTTCAACAAATGGTGCTGGCATAACTGGATGTCAAAATGTAAAAGATTACAAATAGGTCCATATCTGTCACCATGCACAAAACTCAAGTCCAAGTGGATCAAAGACCTGAACATAAATCCAGTTACACTGAACTTGATAGAAGAGAAAGTAGGAAGTACTCTTGAATACATTGGCACAGGAGATCACTTCCTAAATATAACACCAGCAGCACAGACACTGAGCACAACAATTAATAAATGGGACCTCTTGAAACTGAGAAGCTTTTGTAGGGCAAAAGACATGGTCAATAAGACAAAAAGACAGCCTACAGAATGGGAAAAGACCTCCACCAACCCCACATCTGACAGAGGACTGATCTCCAAAGTATATAAAGAACTCAAGAAACTAGACATCAAAACACTGAACAATCCAATTAAAACATGGGCTACAGAACTAAACAGAGAATTCTCAAAAGAAGAATCACAAATGGCTGAAAGACATTTAAGGAAATGTTGAAATCCTTAGTCATCAGAGAAATGCAAATCAAAAGAACTCTGAGATACCACCTTACATCTGTCAGAATGGCTATGATCAAAAACACTAATGACAGTCTATGTTGGAGAGGATGTGGAGCAAGGGGAACACTCCTCCACTGTTGGTGGGGGTGCAAACTTGTACAACCACTGTGGAAATCAGTATGGCGGTTTCTCAGGAAATTGGGCATATCACCAATGGATGCTCAATCATACCACAAAGATACATGCTCAACTATGTTCATAGCAGCACTGTTCGTAATAGCCAGAACCTGGAAACAACCTAGATGCCCATCAACTGAAGAATGGATTAAGAAAATGTAGTACATACACACAATGAAGTACTACTCAGCAGAGAAAAACAATGACAGCATGAAATTTGCAGGCAAATGGGTGGAACTAGAAAATATCATCCCAAGTGAGGTAGCCCAAACCCAGAAGGACAAACATGGTATGTACTCACTCATAAGTGGATACTGGATATAAAGCAAAGAACAATCAGACTGCAACCCACAGAACCAGGGAGGCTACATAGCAGGGGGGACCCTAGGATGACTGTGGCTTATAATAAGTTTTGGTTTTACTCAATCACTGGGCAAGCTTCAGTGAAACATTTCACTATTGGGATACGAATTTGTACTGCATCAAGCTGATAATAAAAAAATAAAATAATAAAAATAAAAAACCAAAATAACTTATCAGGCAGGAGATGTAGTTCAGTTGGTGAAGTGATTGCCCACTGAGCTCTGGGGTTCCACCTCCAGTACTGCTATTGGGACACACCTGCTTTCCCAGCACCTAGGAGGTGGAGACAGGAAAATCAGGGGTTCAAGGACATCTTCATCGACAGAATGAGTTTTAAAGCCAGCCTGGGTTGCCTGAGACTCAGGGGTTAAGAGCACTGACTGCTTTTCCAGAAGACCTGGGTTCAATTCCCCCGCACCCAAATGGAGGTTGTCAACCATCTGTAACTCTAGTCTCAAAGGGTTCCAGCACTCCACCTGGACTCCACAGGCACTGCATATAGGTGGTGCACAGGCAAACATTCATACCCATAAAATAAAAATAGCAGCCGGGCGGTGGTGGCGCACGCCTTTAATCCCAGCACTCGGGAGGCAGAGCCAGGCGGATCTCTGTGAGTTCGAGGCCAGCCTGGACTACCAAGTGAGTTCCAGGAAAGGCGCAAAGCTACACAGAGAAACCCTGTCTCGAAAAACCAAAAAAAAAAAAAAAAAAAAAAAAAATCTTAACCAACAACAACAAACCTAAGACCAGGTTTCCAGCAGTGTCTGTACAGAGTTTTAGCAGTATCTGGTTGAAAACGAGAACAAGTCTGCTGTCTCAGACTCCCCAAATTTACCCGACGGCTATTTTGAACTCTTTCTCTTGTTAACTACACCCTGTGTTCCGAACCCTAAATCTTCCGTACTTTCTCAGACTGTTGATGTTTTTTTCTCTACTCACCTAATAAAGTCAAGGTTTTTCAGACATTCGAAACAGGAACTTCAGGCACACGGACAGCGTTTGGGGCTGGGACTTTCCACAAGGGACTACACTCAAAAAATAATCCATAGGAAACTACCTTTACAGATCCTAGACCTTTGGCTCAGTATTCACCACAAACGTGGTGAGGTGTTTTACGCTAGTATTTGGGCTGCCACCCTCCGCTTTCTGTTCACTTAATTGATCTCCAAGGAGTCAATGAATGGAGCTCCCTAAGGCCAGTATTTAATTGATTGCCTTGGTCTGGCTGCTATAATATTACAACTCTTGGAATACCTAGCATCGATTCTACTATAAAATTTGCCTTACGCATGCCAGTCCGCCGGACATCGTATTCCAGCGACTGCTTTCAGTCATTTGGAGTGCCAGGCGGTGCAGTTTACTATCCTGGTAAGCAGTGGCCAGATGCGCGGGACCTAGGGAGGACAAGATTGGGCCTCGCTCGCGTCCATCAGCCTGAGGCTCAAGGCGGGACTGTTTTGCGGTGTGATTTGGAAGCTGGCCCCACCTCTGGAAAATGAGGGGGCGGTACGGGGAAGAAAAAAAAAAAAAAGCACTGATGTCTCTTTTCATTGGATCGCTGTCAAGTCAGTCAAACCTCTGCTTTGCTCCGGTTGGCGAGAAGGCTCCAGGCAGGTAGCGTGCTCTCCGTGTTGGCCCCTCCCGAGGTGGGACCACGGCCCCCGACGTCTCCGACAGTTGTTGTTGGGGTTTGGGCCTCATTAATTATTCATTAAGGTACTTAAGAGCGCTGCCGCGATTGGTGGCTGAGAGGCCGGGTCGCTTGTGTCCCCGCTAGAGATACGTGTCACCCTCGGGAGGCGGGAGAAGCCGCGCATAAATTATTCCGACCAGGAGGGGCGGGGCCGAGCATAAATTAGTTAAATGAGCCAGGGAGGGAGGGCGGGCGGCCGGCGGCGAATTAGCCTAAGTTCTTAAAGATGGCGGCGGAGCGGAGTCGCTCCCCGGTGGAGTCGCCGGTGCCGGCCTCGATGTTCGCCCCCGAGCCCAGCTCTCCGGGGGCGGCCCGGGCCGCGGCGGCTGCGGCACGACTCCACGGCGGCTTCGACTCGGACTGCAGCGAGGACGGCGAGGCGCTCAACGGCGAGCCGGAGCTGGACCTCACCAGCAAGGTAGGCCCGGGAGGCGGCGGCGGCGGGGCCCGGGGCACCCGAGCGGGCCGGACGGTCTCCGAGGCGACGGCGGGCAGCCGGCGGTCCAGTTGGCGCGGCTCACTGGGACGCGGGAAGGACGCAGCCCGCCCACCTGCCGCGCTCCGGGACGTGCGGGGCCCGGGCCCACGCTCCGCACCCGGCAGCTTTCCACCCGGCCTCCCGCGCTCTCCGCTCCCGCCTCGATCGCGGGCTGCCCCCTTGGCTCCGCCACGTGGAATGGGGCTCCCAACACCGGCCGCGCGCCCTGCATCCCTGTCCCTGTGTGGGCCAGCCCGTCCTCCCCAGGAGGGGGGTCCCCGAGACACAGGGTCTTCCTCTTCCTCGAGCGTCCGGGACGACCGAGGGTCAAGGTGGCTTGGGCAGCGGGGGCGGGATGCTCTCGAAGACAGGTCGCCTATTCTGAGGGGATGCAGGGTGGCAGCCGCTTCTCTTCCTGGGCTCTGGAAAGGAAACAGAAAGTAGTTGCTCAGGCGGCGAGAATGATGTCCGAGGAGTGTCCACTTTCCGTGTCCACCCAAACAGAATACAAAGATGGGGCTAACGAGATGGCTCATCTGGGAAAGGCGCTTGCCTCTTAAGTTTGAGGACCTCAATTTGGTCCCCTGGACTTAGAGAACTGACTCCCACAGGTTGCCCTCCGATGTCCACACGGACGCCGTGGCACGCTCCCCCCGCCATGTCATATAATTTAAAGAATAGAAAGACAGACAATGGGCATGACCCACAGTCTTGCCACCTAGGAGTGGAGCCATCTCTTGTATGCATGGAGTAAGGAAGGGGTTTTAAATAGTGCTTCTGAGTTGTTGAGAAAGTAGGCAGAAATTAAGGTCTCACCATCTACTTGGCATTGTGAAAAATAGAAATGTAAGTATAAGATGTAGCTGGTGTTTAGAAAGTGTTTAACGTCACTGAAGAAACTAATGACCACTTGGAGAGACAGGGAGGACCGGGTTTCCCTTCCAACTCTTGCCATTAAAGAGGTTCTGTGACCTTGGGAAAGTTTCTTAACTTCTCAATTCCCCAGCTATTCCATCAAGAAACTATGGATGCGTTGCAAAAATTAGAAGTGTATGTTAAGACACCCATTATAGTACCAGATCCATATCAGAGACTCAGTAAGTATTTGGACTAGATAGATGATAATTCCCTATGAGGATTAAAAAGCAGCTGATGAAAGATAGAACAACCTCACTCCCTGCCCTTTGTAGGATAATTACAATAGAGATTTTATGGCGCTTTGATGTCCGTGGCCATACTATGCTGAACAAGCTTGATCTCGTCCGATCTCAGAAGCTAAGCAGGGTCTGGTCTGATTACTACTTTGATGGGAGATTTTATGGAGCTTTGAAAATGTTTGTAACATCTCATGGTGGCACAACTACATAAAACTTAGCTCTAAACTGGAAAGAACCTTTTCCTGAAACCTAAGGAAGTGAGTCCCAGTTGTACTTTCTCCTTCTAGTCTCTGCTGGGCACTTGGAAGTCAGTTAGCTTCTTTTTGTCATGGTGGTCCTGTCTAGTTCCTCTAATACCATAATGAGGGTGGCCAAGCTCAGGGAAACCTCCATCCAGAATGTAGGACACAGTGTAACCCTGGTGGCATCCGGGTTATGACTAGACGCTCTGATGAGTTAAATGGGCATGTTAGCAGTGGACTGGCAGGATGTTGGTCCATGGTCAGGGAGCTGAAGAAACCTGGAAACACAGTGGGAAATTGGGACAGAGTGAGAGGGTGGTGCCTTTTTGACTATTTTATTTAATTGCCATGAGTAAGGAACTTCATCAGAGTGCTGGGGAAATCCTCAGGACTTTGAAATTAAGAGAGAAAGAGAGAGAGACTGTGTGTGTGTGTGTGTGTGTGTGTGTGTGTGTGTGTGTGTGTGTGTGTGTGTGTAAAAGAAAAGCTGACCATGTGGAGGAGAGAAGGGGTGGATTGAATAGATATAAGCCCTGGAAAGAGTAGTCTAGATGTTTATGCCTCACTATTACTAAAAAATGTGGGGAGCTAAGGCTCGGAGAGCTTCCAGCAAGAAAAACAACGATCAGTGGTGGCGAGATTCATGCAGTTTTGTAGAAATGTCTGAGTAAAGATAAGTTTGTACTGAGTGTTAGTTGAGCCTGGCCTAGATGCTTTTGTTTTTGTTTTATTTTGTTTTGTTTTGAGACAGGATCTCATTCTATAGCCCAGGCTGGCTTCAAACTCAGCAGTTTCCTTGCCTCAGCTACCCCAGTGCTGGTATCACAGACATGAGCCAGCCCAAATGCTTTATGTTATTCTATAGACTAGAAAATTGAGGTTCAGAGAGGTTAAGTTCTTTGTCCAAGGTCACATAGGAGTGGCTAGAGAATGAAACCTGGCATGCCTGATAGCAATGACCTCCCCAAATAAGTGGTTGATACTTTGTTATTGACAGGATTTACACAGCCCATGGTAAAATAATACTAACCTTAGTGGCGGTAGGTTTTGTTGACAAAGAAAGCCTTTTGCAGGCAGTTTTCAGTGTAGTAATCAAGACAGCTTAGACAAGGTAGAGCAGAATTCTTTGGTTATTATGGGAGCACTGGCCTGTGGGTGGAGGGCATGGCTGTAAGGAAGCAGTCTGCCCTTGAACTCCCTGGTGCACACTGTAGGCAGAAGATGGTGAGGAGGTACAGAGCGGCACTGCTCGGCTGGCTCTCTCGCCGCGTCAGACTGTCTTCTCTCTTGTTTGGGACCTAGCCCTCTTGTGAGCTGGAGGCTGGCTGTGCACACCGCTTCTCCTGCAGACATAATTCATTTAGTATATCATCTGGGTTGTATAAGGCTGTTTCAGGAGAGGCAGAAAGCGTGGGGGGGGGTGGAGAGCTGCACAGCTGTGTTCCATTAGAGTGCTCTGGGGTTTGGTCAGGGTCTTTGGTCAGGCTGTTGATCAGCTTGGGCTGTGGAACTCTCTAGTGAGTGTGGTTCTAAGGCTGTTGGTTTCTCTTCTAGCTGGTTCTAGTGAGCCCTACATCAGAGCAGTATGACAGCCTACTTCGGCAGATGTGGGAGAGGATGGACGAGGGATGCGGAGAGACCATATATGTCATTGGGCAGGGATCAGGTGAGCATAGTTTTCCTTTCCTTTATTTTCAACAATTATTTAGAGCACATTTCCCCACCACTGCCTTTTTGACTCATGTGTCTCCCATGCAGCCACAGTGTAGTACCTGCAGGACTGTCTGGAGAGGAGACATGCAACTGAATATCAGCTCCTACCTTAGTGGTCAGGACAAGGTTGGGGTCAAGGTTCCTTGTCCGGGGCCCTTACAGATGTTTCCTCTCCACCTCAGGACTCCTCCTTTACATTCAGGGAATTGAAGCTTTAGGCAAGGAAACTTCTTGTCTAAGGTGGGCAAGCAAGTCCTAGCTAGGTCTAGAATTAACCCAGCTTTGAGTAACCCTAGGTCTTCCCCTCCGGCCCTGTTGATGGATCCCGTTGCTTTCTGTTTCCTACTTAGCTGAGAATCTCTGTGGTTCTTCTTAAAGCCACCAAGGAAAGACACTCAGAATCCTCTCTTTCACTGAGGTGCTTTGGCCCAGACCACACTAACCACTCAGTCTGGATAGTTGTGATAACAGAAGTCCTTCCTGGCTCCCACTGTATCTTGCCAGGCTCGGAGTCATGTGACCATTCTGGTTCTTGTCCTGCAACCTACTTACTCATCATAATGGAGCCTCCAGTTTTAGAGAAAGGCAGACCCTGTTTCAGAGTCCCCTATGAGATCATGGAATTGGTTTTGTCCACGACCCCCCACCCTCACCTTCCAGTCATCCCTTGTTTACACCCTTAATGCCATAACCTACTTACTACCTTCATCTTCATGACAATACTATCTTTGCTGAAATTATTGAGGATCACTTGCAAGAAGCCCTGGCTGGGCCTGTGTGCATCATTAGGGGCAGTTTTCTTTTCTTAGTAGACTTGTGGAAAGGCACATAATAGTCTGAGTCTGAGTTAAGGAGCTCTCACAGGAGCTTCTACCAAGGCCTGTGATCCTAGCAATCAGGAGCCTGAGGCAGGAGGATGGCCAACTCCAAGCCATCCTAAAACACTGTCTCAAGATAAAAAATATAAAAAAGGCCGGAGGTATAGCTCAGGAGCAGTGCTTCATTGCCTGACTTATGCAAGGCCTGACTGAATCCTGAGTTCTGGAAAAAAATTGTTCAACTATTTGACACATCGGTTATGGATCTTCTAAATCTTGATATTTTTCAAAGCTCTTTTGGATACTTAAAATTTGGTTCCCTGGGCTGGGCTTGTAGCTTAGCAGTGGAATGCTCACTTTCTGTGTGCAAGGCCCTGCACTCTGTCACCAGCGATGGAACGCCAAACAAAACAGAATAGAGCTGGTCCTGGCCCCCAAGGAGGAAAGATGGCACATATACAAATAATCTCAGAGAAAACAGCGTTTAAAAATGCCTCCAGATGACAACCAGGGACAACGACTTGGTCTCTAAATCCCGCCGTGCCCGCCTTTGAAACTGCTCTCCTGTCTGTCTTGTCCTTCCCACTCCTGCTACCCCTCAGCTGTGGCGCCGCTCACCTTATAGAAGACACGGTCAGAGAGACAGACTAAGAGGTCACCTGTCAAGGAAGGGAGGGAGTCTGTCAGCATTGCCAAGGGCTGCTAGGCAGTGGGCTCAGAAAAGGCCATCTGCTCGGTGATAACTCATTGATTCCTTGTGCGAGCTTGTCAAGTATGTCTCCGTTCTGCCTTAAGATGATAAACCACTCATAGGTCACTTCCTACTTTGTAGGAAACCACATAAAGGTCAGTTTTGACAAGGGGTAGTCTTTAAAAATCCGGACTCTTATTTATGTATTTATGTATTTTAATAGGGTCTTGCTTTGTAATCCAGGCTGGCCTTGAATTCTTGATCCTCCTGTCTTCGCCTTCTCCAAAGACTCAGACTCTTCTTTTCTCACCTCCTTTAATGCAGTCTGAATTGTACCATATCCCAACAACTAATTAACTCTCCTTTGGAAGGTAAGATGTATACTCATTTGCCCATCTCCCACACACCCCAGCATTAGCCACGCATCATCCTGGTGACTCCGTCTGCTGGATATTTTGGAGGCAGAGAGAGGTCGGAACTGGTTAAACAAGTTGAACATCAGACAGCACTGAATCCATTGCAAGGCCCCCAAAGGCCAGCTTCATCTCCAGCTTCTTCTGTGTCTTGGTGTTTCATCCCTCCACCAGGCCCTTCCACTGTAGCATGGTGACAAGGAGACCTTCTTCAGAGAAATGAGTTTTTGTTGTTGTTTTGAGACAGGGCTTCTCTGTGTGACAGCCTTAGCTATCCTGAAACTAGTTCTGTAGACTAGGCTGGCCTCGAACTCACAGAGATCCGCCTGGCTCTGCCTCCCGAGTGCTGGGATTAAAGGCCTGCGCCACCACTGCCCAGCCCTCGGAGAAATGTTACATGAATAAATACATTGAAACCTTGTACATAGTCCAGGAGGACTGTTCTATACCTGTGTGCTTTTCATTTAAGGTTGATGCTTTAGGAAGCAAGTCAGTGAGTGTCTAGTAATTTGGGGTCTGGAGCCTGGAAGGTCTGGGTTTACCTGCCGATTTGTTTCCTTGTCTTAAGATGCAGGTAATATTGGCCTGGAGGTATGTACTGCTCTCCAGAGGAACTGGGTTTGGTGCTTATGCATGTTAGGAGGCTCACAGCCATCTACAACTCCAGCTCCTGGGGATCTGACACCCTATTCTGGCCTCTTTGGACATCTGCACTCAGGTGCACATTCCCACACACACACACACACACACAATTAAAAATAAGATCTTTCAGCCGGGCAGTGGTGGTTCACACCTTTGATCCAGCTGAGGCACGTTGATCCCTGAATTCAAGGCAAGCCTGGTCTACAGAGTGAGTTTCAGGACAGCCAAGACTACACACAGAAACCTTGTCCTGAAAAACTAAAAATAAATAAATGAAATCTTTCAGAATAAGTCAACAGTAAGAAAATATGAGTTCTAACAAACCATCCCATGGTGTCTGAGTGAGTTACATGAGTGCCCAAGGAATGAGTGCACTTGGCACCGAAGTGTTAGCATTAGCAGTGGCAGTTTTTCAGGGTCCGAGGTTTGTAGTTGGTTTATTATGGGACTGCTTTGCAAAAAGAACCTCGACAGTTTCTGAAATACTAAGCTGTGTCTTGAGTGCTCATTTGGAGGTTCCAGCAGGGGAACACAGTTGCTTCATATACCCATCACTGGAGAATGGTTCTCTGCCAAGGAAGGTCATCATCTTCAACTGAGCAGCACAACTTCTGGAAAGACACAGCTGGAGCATTGAGGGAGGGAGGGAATACCTGCCTAGCCAGCCAGCTCAGCCTAATCAACCCTCGTGATCAGCGGAGTGACAGATGGCACAGCAGGGTTTGTATTTGTAGGAGTCAGGAACAGCCACACAGAGGAGCTCCTCCTCTGTGAGCAGTGGCGAGTGGACAGAGGAAACCACATGCACAGAGGCATGGAGGCACTGGAGATGCACATTTGGAGGGCCAGATGGACTCTAGTGAGGAGAGGAGAATGTGGGGTCAGGAGGGTCTGGACAGGTAGGCAGGATCCTTTTATGGTCCTTGAATGTCATGCCAAAGAGTTGAGACTTATGTCCCCAAAGCCTGGGAAGCTAGCCTAGCACCTTGAGTAGAGGAATACTTGTGGGAAAGGTAAGCCACCTGGCAGGGCAGAAATCTGATGAGGGCTGCTGTGGCCTGTAGTAACTGGACTCTGGCTTTTCTCCTTGGCTCTTGTCTACTTCTAATATGATGAAAGTGGTACATGTTAGACAGGGGTAATGTGACCACCTGAGAGTTCTGGTGCTCAAGGTGACATTGGTGCTGGCCCCTATTGAAAACCAGCAAGGGAGGTAGATTGTCTGGTGAGGATGACAGCCTTCCCCAACTCAGAAGGGACCAGAGCTCATTCAGCGGTTCATTTAGAACCTTCTACCCTGTGCCGAGCTGCTCTCCCTTGGTTCAGTTGTCTGACATTTTCCAAACAGTTGAGGACTTCAGGTAGGAAAGCTATTCCCCGCAGAATGGTTAAGATACAGTCCCCATCCTCAAGATGTTCTATGTAGTCAGGAGCATGTGCACAAGGACAGGGCATGGCGGATGCTGTAAGGAAGGCAGGTGTTTGCGGGGCCTCTGAGCAGAACCTGTAGGATCTTGCCAAGAGGAGATGTGTTGATTGGCTGGGGTGAGAAATGAGGTTAGAGCTAGGACTGTGGGATCCCGGGGGGAGGAGCTCATGGGTCACTTGCACTGGCATAGAGCTGACTGGAGTGTAGGAATGAGGAGTGTGGAATGACAGAGGGGGGTGGGGCAGTGACCTAAAGGAGTTGGAGCAGAAGGGAGTACTGTTGGTTCTGGAAGATCATTCAGAGATCTTGGTGTGAAAGTGGCAATGTTAGAACTATGGTTTCCTTGGGATCTTAAATTTGTAGGGAACGTGCTAGATGGGCTGTGGCGGGTGGTGTAGAGTCAAGACACATAGACTAGATTCACTGAGACCCCGAGTCAGGCAGCAAAAGAACACCATAAAGAACTGGAATCAGGCCGGGCAGTGGTGGTGCACGCCTATAGTCCCAGCGCTCAGGAGGCAGAGGCAAGTGGATCTCTGTGAGTTTGAGGCCAGCCTGATCTACAGAGCGAGATCCAGATCAGGCTCCAAAGCTACAGAGAAACCCTGTCTCGAAAAACCAAAAAAAAAAAAAAAAAAAGAAAAAAAGAAAAAAAGAACTGGAATCAGCAGGACTGGGCTGATGACAGGGTTATGCTTAGGTGACCAGAAGCAAAGTATTGTCTTTATTAGAATGGGACAGCAAGAGAAGGAACAAGCAGACAGAGAGGGACAGGAAGGAAGGAAAAGCAGCTAGTTTGGAGTCAGGAGACTCCAGTTTACACTGTAGCCCTCTGCAGCCCCCCAGTTTGGAAGTATCTGGTTTCTGTTTACCTTGCTCTTCCATCCCCTCTTCCCTCTTTTTTGAGGGGAACCTCACACTTATGATCCTTCTGCCTCATCCTTTCCAGTGCTGGAATTGTCACGTCGGTTACTCCACTGTTAAAAGGCAATAGCACTGCCTGCTCCGTAGGGCTACAGGAAGTGTCCAGTGCTTTATTGGTGCTGAGCATTTGTGGGCCACTGTTTACAGGGTGAAGGGGCGAGTCTGAATATCAGGCTTCTCGGAGTTTTCATCTAGGCCACTGGATTCCAAGTGGAGCTTGGCAAGGTGGCCAGTGCTAGATAAGAATGTCATTCAAGTCCTGACAGTGGCCGTTGAGGCTGTAGAACGATAGCTAAGGGGAAGGTTTGGAGGAAGAAGGGGGCCTTTGGGGTGGACTGGCAGAGGCTGGCATTCAGAGGATGCGAGCAGGGGAGAACTCTAGCTGGATGGGCAGGGTTGTAGCTGGTTAGAATGATGGGGGCCACTGGTGATGTTTGGCAGTGGCAGGTCCTCTAGGAGTGGTCAGCTCAGAGTACTGGGGATGAGTGTCCGCAAGGGTTGGCTAACCTCAGTTCCTTGGTGTTCAGAGGAATTGAGGAGACGGTTGGTAGCTCAGGTGAGCAGAGACAATGAGAGCGGGTAGTTTTCCTTCTTAAAGGTGGCGAGCTTGCTTTAGGGAACTGGAGGAGGAACAGGCCTGGCCTGGCCTGGCCAGGATTCTGGGTGGTGAAAAGGAAGAGGTGCTACAGGGTGTGCTTAGGAGGGGCTGAGGGGGCTGAGGGAGTGGTGGGCCCTGGACCCACGTCACACAGAAGCACCTGGTGCATTGCTGTTCTTAGACTCTAGGAAGCTAGTTCCTCAGCCTTTTCCTGCCCACCTCCACAGCCTGGGCTCAAATTCTCTTTTTTTTCCAAGACGGGGTTTCTCTGTGTAGCTTTGGAACCTGTCCTGGAACTCATTCTGTAGACCAGGCTGGCCTTGAACTCAGAGATCCACCAGCCTCTGCCGCCCAAGTGCTGGGATTAAAAGCGTGTGCCACCACCACCCGGCTGGGCTCAAATTCTTTTTTCAGGCGTTGACTGGATATGGTACCTGAGCTATCCTAGTTACAAACTGTCTTTAAGATAACCTGGACCACCCCCACCCACCCACCCATCTCCCTCTTCCTGCCCTCCTTGCTTGCCTAGGGCATTGGAGTTTCTCCCTTGCTGGGCTCTTGCTTACTGCCTAGGTCTTCCAGCCTACCTCGCTCTGCCCATGGTATTGTCCTGACCCCGGCCTTAGTGCAGAACATTTGCTTTTGTCTGGTGTCATACCAACTTCCACTTCCCGCTGTTCCTGACGCCATCAGGCTCCCCCCCACAGAGCATCTTCTCTCTTCCTGTCCCTGCCTGGTCACTGTCTGCCATGCTTTCGGCTTTACTTCTCTGCTGTGATGTCTTTTCTCAACTTCGGAAGTTTGGGGTCAGCACCCCCAAAGCTGCCCTCCCCATCCCTGGGCTGTGCTTTGCATCCTCTTCCTTCAGCTCTACAGAGTAGTGCTCAAATCCTGTTGACATTAATTAATTTCTTGTGTCTCTCCCTTGGGGCCGTGAGCTCACTGAGGGCACTTATATTCCCAGCACCCAGTATGAAGCTTGGCATAAGTTCAAGGAGAATCTCGATGACTCGTGAATGAACTACCCAGTGCCCTGCTGGGAGGGGAAGCTGTGGCACTGTGTTTTTCTGCAGTGCCGGGGGGAGTCTGTTTAGATAGAGTTGACTGGCAGGCTTACTGCAGGCTGGTTGGTCAGGCCCCCTTTCCTGCTGATGTCTGGGCTCTTGTCACCAGATGGGACTGAGTACGGACTGAGTGAAGCTGACATGGAGGCCTCCTACGCCACAGTGAAGAGCATGGCGGAACAGATAGAGGCTGATGTCATCTTATTGCGCGAGCGTCAAGAAGCTGGTGGCCGTGTGCGTGATTACTTAGTCAGGAAACGAGTTGGAGACAATGACTTCCTGGAGGTCAGGTGAGGAGGCCATAGAACACTTGCAGGGGTCCTGCTGCATGACTTTTTGGGGGGCTCACGGAGAATGTGATGGAGCCTGTGCTACTTGGGGTGTCAGTGCTCCCTCTCCCTGCCTTCCCCTCCTCCTTCCTAGGATAGAGTATGGGGACTCGTGGTCTTCACAGTGCTGCTCTTTGTCCGAGTTCCGTCCCTCGGGACTCCATCTGGGACATGGGAGAGAAGACCAGCCATGCATTCTGTGGCAACCCTGTGCTTGTGCTCACTTTACCATCAGCTTGGGAGGCTAGAAACCGGGAGCTAGGGAGATACTTTGTGGCTTTTATAACTTCGGGGGTCTTCCCAGCAGTGGGATTAGGGTTGTAGGCATTGAAGGAGCCAGGACTCCTGACTTTGTGCTCCCTGGGTACAGCTCCAGGAACACCCACTCTGCTCATCTAGGAATAGGACATCCTGAGTCAGGTTGCTGGGGTGAACCTCAGGCGGGGACCCAGTCTCTGGTGGAGTAGTCTCTTCAGGACTCGTTCTCACACTGCTTCGTGTCCATAGGGTGGCAGTGGTGGGCAACGTGGATGCTGGCAAAAGCACGCTCCTGGGAGTCCTAACACACGGAGAGCTGGACAATGGCCGTGGCTTTGCCCGCCAGAAACTCTTCCGTCACAAACATGAGATTGAATCTGGTCGAACCAGCAGCGTGGGCAATGACATTCTGGGCTTTGACAGTGAAGGCAATGTAGTGAACAAGCCGGACAGCCACGGTGGCAGCCTCGAATGGACAAAGATCTGTGAAAAGTCCACTAAGGTGATTACTTTCATTGACCTGGCTGGCCACGAGAAGTACCTTAAGACCACTGTTTTTGGCATGACTGGCCATTTGCCTGACTTCTGCATGCTCATGGTAAGTGTGACATTTCCCTCAGCAGGGGACCTGGGGATGCTCTGCAAAGGTTCGGCATCATTCTGAGCCTGGGTCCTTCTGGGTGGGGTAAGGATGGCAAGTTTGGGATCTTGGGGAGCTCAGCCCTAGCTCTGTGGTCTTGTCCACAGGTGAACCTTGACCTTTCTCCTGCATTTAGATCAGGGAGGGGACCCCCTGGTATAAAGCAAGGTATCACTTGCGGATCAGGAATGTTTTCTCTAGCACCTCAGGGTACTTTGAGAGAGTGGCCCCAGGTGGCACCCTCGAGATCAGCCTGGGGAGGAAAGGAGAAGAGCACCTCACATCTGGAGCCAAGGGCAGCAGTCAGCAGGGCCTCAGGTAGTGTCTTCAGTGCCTGGGAGGGAGATACGGCAGCCATTGTACAGCCCTTTTGGGGAAGCTAATATGGGCCTGGCCCTGTGCTTACCTGGTGGCTCGCACAGTGGGAAGTAGGCCTTCCTGGTCCTGGGGCTCCCAGAGAGCATGTTCAAGCAGCTCCTCATGTAACATCACTGAAAAGGAGAGGGGCGGAGGACTCAGCTTTGCTCATGTGTGTGCATGTATGTTCTGAGCTTCCTGTACTTTATGTATAGATTCAAGGGGAGAGGGGGGAGGAAGAGGATGCGCACATGTGCAGTGAGTTTTCAAGTCCTTCCAAAGCCCCTCCACCCTCCTGGTTCTTCAGCTGCCTGTGCTAATAAGTGTGGTAAACACAGGCATCTGTTCCTACAAAACATGCTCAAGTTGCCCCACAAACAGGTTCTCAGGCCAACCTCTCAAACTGGAGAGGAGGGCGCAGCGTGTGCTGTAGGGATGCCCATCCCTCTGCCTGCGCTGCTTGGGCAGCGGTTGCTCTCAGTTTGAACCTTGCAAAGGGCTGTCACTCCTCTTGACTGAGGAAAGCTGCCATACCAGAAGGCATCTCTGTGGAAGTCCACAGGGGCCCCTGGGCCTGTGGCCATTTCAGAAGGGTTTGGAGGGTGAGAAAGATGGCTAGTGGGTAAAGGTGCTTGCCCAGCAAGCCTGGTGACCCGAGTTTCATCCCCAGCACCCACCTAAAGGTAGGAGAAAACGGACTCCATCTGCTTGTCTTCTGACCGTTAGATGTGCGCACACTAAGAAGAATTTTTAAAATTTAATCTTTGTTTCATTTTATGTGTCTATGTTTTGTCTGCATATATGTCTGTGCACCACATGTGTGCCCAGTACTCACAGAGGTCAGAAGAGAGTTGTAGTGGGCTTTCTTGGACCACCAACCAGCTCCCAAATCATGACACAAAGACTTATTATCAGTTATGAATGCTTGGCCTTATGCTTGTTCCACTAGCGCTTATTACTTAATTTAACCAGTTTCTCTTCATCTACATTTTATCTCGGGGCTTTTTACCTTTCTTTCCTTATGTATGTCCTTCTCTGTGTCTGTCTATCTGGCCCCTGAGTCTCCCTCTCTTTCTCCTCGATTCCTATTTATTCTGTCTGCCAACCTTGCCTGTCCCTCTACTGTGTAGCTATTGGCTGTTCAGCTTTTTATTAGACCAGTCAGGTGCCTTAGGCAGGCAAGGTGAAACAGCAACACACCTTCACATAATTAAACAAATGCGTTATATCTTTACATAATTAAACATATTCCATAACAGAAGGTGTCAGATTCCCCAGAGTCTGGAATTACAGACAGTTGTGAGCTGCCACGTGGGTGCTGGGAATTGAACCTGGGTCCTCTGGAAGAGCAGCCAGTGCTCTTTAACTGCTAAACCATCTCTCCAGCCTCTAATAATAATAATTAAAAAAAATTCTACCCTGAATGTATTTTTTTAAACATGAAGGGTTTGGAAACCAACAACATAAGCACTTTTTTTTCTGTTTGTGTTGTAATCGACTGACCTGTGTAATAATTGTACCACTTCTGAGGTCCAGTATGTGTCAGTGTGTGTACACAGTGTGTATGAACCACACTAGCTAGTTAGCATCTCCTGGAGAGACATGCTCCTGTTGTATCACAGCCTAATGCATGTCCTCCTTATCATGCCTTTAGAGACTCCAGTTCTTCATACAATTAAAAAGCATGTCTAACTGAACTGTAGTGAGTAAGGACAATGATGGGATAATCTTCATCCCAAACAAAATTTTCCTGTCTGACTTTAGGCCATCATCCATTTATTAGACTTCTTAGACAGCAGAAAAAGAACTTGAATCCCACCCGTTGGGGGGGGGAGGTAAGAGGGTCTCCTGAGTTACATACTAGTACCCTGTCTTTGTCTTTCTCCTTTTTGTTTTTTTTTGGGACAAGGTCTCTCTGTGTAACCCTGGCTGTCCTAGAACTTGCTCTGTAGACCAGGCTGGCCTCGAACTCAGAGATCCACCTGCCTCTGCCTCCCAAGTGCTGGGATTAAAGGTGTGCGCCCCACTGTCTGGCTTCTTTTTCCTTTTTAAGTAAATAAATAACAAGAACAATGAATATCTTGTTAATGTTCCACAGTGATGAATTTTCCAAGGGGAGAAAAAGTAACATATAGAAACCAATAGATCATTCTCAGGCTCAGTGTGGAAACAACGAAGTGTGTCCCATTTGTATTGAAAGGGAGTGGAAAGAAGTAGCTGGAGGACCGGAGATAAACTGGGACAGGCAGCAGGGGCAGCAGCGGGGCTGAAGAGTCCCCTGCGTGCTGCCAGCAGTGAGAACTACAGCAGTGAAGATGTCCCAGCGTGTTCAGAGTGCCACACAGGCGCAGGATGGCGGCTTCTCTTCGTTTTACTGTGGTCGGCATTCACTTGCATGGTACAGAAATAAAAGGCAGTGAAGAGTGCCAGTGGGTGCTGCCACGCCTGACCACCTGAATTGGATCTGGAAAAGCCAGCTTCCACAGGTTGTCCCAGTCTCCAAACACACCATGGCGTGACTCCCTCGCCATACACACATACATACACACAATAAACTGTTTTGGTTTTTTTTGTTTGTTTGTCTTGAGACGGTCTCACTATGTAGCCCTTGCTGAAACTTGTGTAGACCAGGTTGGCTTCAAACTCATGAAGATCCACTTGCCTCTGTCTCCCAAGGGATCAAAGGCATGTGCTACCACACCCATCGTGAAAATATAATTTTTTTTCCCCTGAGACAGGGTTTCTCTGTGTAGTTTTGGTGCCTGTCCTGGATCTTGCTCTGTAGACCAGGCTGGCCTTGATCCCACAGAGATCCGCCTGGCTCTGCCTACCGAGTGCTGGGATTAAAGGCGTGCGCCACCACTGCCCGGCAAATATATTTTTTAAAAAGACAACTGAGAGCATGTAGTAAAAAGTTCCCCTTCTTTTGTTTCCAGAGGCAGTCACTGTCTTCAGTTTCTTGTATTCCTGCCAGAGATACTTTTAAAAATGTTTTTTATTTTCTATTTATGAGCATTTTTCCTGCATGTACGTATTTGTACTGTATGTAGTATCCTTGGGCCAAAAGGGCATAGGACCCCTTGGAACTGGAGTTTTGGACAGTTGTGAGCCACTGTGTAGTTACTGGGAACTGAACCTGGGTCCTCTGGAAGAGCAGCCAATGCCTTAACCCCTGAGCCATCTCTCCAGCCCCAGAGATACTATGTGCTCATACAGCAAGTGTCCAGTCTGATGTCAAACGTAAGGTGACCTGTTGCTTGTTTTTTTTTTTTTACTTTTTTGGGGGGCCTGTCACCTAGTTTCCAAACAAATCACACACGGAGGCTTATTCTTAATCATAAACACCCAGCCTTACCTTGGCTTGTTTCTTGCCAGCTTTCCTTAAATTATCCGGTTTACCTTTTGCCTCTAGGCTCTCTTCCTTCTCTTACTCCATGGTGGCTGGCCTCCAGCATCCTCCTCCTTCCTCTCCCCTTCCTTCTTCTTTTTCTCCCAGATTTCTCCTCCTATTTATCCTCTCTGCCTGCCAGCCCCGCCTATCCTTTCTCCTGTCTCGCTATTGGCCGCTCAGCTCTTTATTAGCCCATCAGGTGTTTTAAACAGGCACAGTAACACAGCTTCACAGAGTTGAACAAATGCAACATAAACAAAAGTAACACACCTGAAAATAATATTCTACAGCAGTGACCCTCTAAAGTAGAAGTGTTTAGCCCTGTTTTAAAGGTGTGTTTACTGAAGACCAAGGATATTAAACTGATCACACTTTGGGGAATATAGATGGTTGTGCATCCCAGACTCTCTGAATTGTCCTTATTGTTTACAAGACTCCTTTGTTTTTTTGTTGTTGGTTTGAACTGAGTTTTTGTTTGTTGGGTCTATTTTTTGCAGTACTGAGAACTGAACCTCAGGTCTGGTGATGCTGGGCAAAGTCTGTCTCTTAAGTTGCACCCCCAGCCCTTGTTTACTTTTTTTTCATACAGGGTGTCACTGAATTTTCCAGGCTGTTTCTAAAAGTTCTCTGTAACCCAGGCAGGCCTCATGGCTCAGGCTTCTGAGTAGCTGGGGTTGCAGTAGCTGGGGTTGCAGGCATTGTTGCCGCGGCCTGCTTTTCAGGTGTAAGTCCTCATCACCAGAGCTTGGTTAAATGAACTTGACCCAGCCCAGCTTTCACCAGCAGGCTGGAGTCCCCGCCCACCAAGCAGCAATCTCTGTCTTCCTTGTCCTGACAGTTCCTTTCTGTTGGCGCAGGTGGGCAGTAATGCTGGCATCGTGGGGATGACCAAGGAGCACTTGGGATTGGCATTGGCACTCAATGTACCTGTCTTTGTGGTTGTCACCAAGATTGACATGTGTCCTGCCAACATCCTTCAAGGTAAGTGAAGCCTCCAGCTGCATCAGCCTCTGGGGTTGTCTGCTCCGAGCCTCAGCCCAGCACCTCCTACATCCTTGTCTGTACTAGACCTTGGCCTCAGTTTCCATCAGCCGAGTCTTCTACTTCTTCCTCTCCTGTGTAGCTCTTGATTAGGAGAAATCTAGAATTTCCCTCTGTTCTTTTTCCTTCCTGGTTCCAAGCAGGATCTATGAAGTCCCTAGTCTGCCATTTTCCCCCCAGTGTCCTCCTCAGCAGGCATTGGGCTGTACCGTTGAAGCAGATGTGTATGGAGGAGTTGGGCAGAGGGTCTTCTGGTCTTTAGCCACCACAGCTTCCCCCCAGGCCTTAGGACTAGGCCTCTGCACCTCTGGTGCTGCAAGTTGAACAGCACTGCCCCGTTAGGAGGTCTCGTAAGAAGGGCCCCTGCCTGGAGAGATGGCTCAGAGGTTGAGAGCACCTGCTGCTCTTCCAGAGGTCCTGAGTTCAATTCCCAGCAACCACATGGTGGCTCACAACCATCTGTCATGAGATCTGGTGCCCTCTTCTGGCCTGCAGTCATACATGCTGTATACATAATAAATAAAATAAATCTTTAAAAAAAAAAAAAAAAAAAAAAAAAAAAAAAAGAAGGGCCCCTGCAGATCTGTAACCCAAGGCACTTGTCTGTCTGTCCGGACTCGTGGCCTTAGAAAAGAGGCCCATCTGTGCTCTCTGTACACTAGCAGCATGTACCCACCCAGCTTTGATCTTCCTTTTTGCTTCTCCAGGCATTGTGGCATTTAACACTGGTCCGTCTGTCTGTCTGTCTCCTGCTTGCATCAGTATTGAGTGCACCCGTCTTACCCTGGAAGTCTGGCCAGAGAGAAGCCTGTGTCCCCTAATTCTGTTCCATTTCACCCTTTAAGAAACCCTGAAGCTGCTACAGCGCCTGCTGAAGTCACCAGGTTGCCGGAAGATCCCTGTCTTGGTGCAGAGCAAAGACGATGTGATTGTCACAGCCTCCAACTTCAGCTCTGAGAGGTAACGAACGGGGGCAAGGCTAAAGGGTGGGGAAGCACGGCTTCTAAGCAGGCGCCCTTGCCAGCAGGGCCACAGCGAGCCATAGGCCTGAAACAGCCAGTAGTCAAGCATGAGGTCTCATGGACGTGGTTGGAGGAAATAGAAGGTTCTGTCTTTGCATGAGTCTCTTAGGTCAGCAGTGTTGTTCAGAGCCTATATCGGGCAGCTCCTCTTCTGAGTTACTGATCTCTCTGACCTTGGAATCCCAGATGGGACATCACATCCTTACCTGGGAAATGGGGATGCTATTAACTTCCTGGATTAGCCAGGGTTCTCTAGAAGCACAAAACCAATGGACTGAATATGTACCACACGGGGTATATTAGATTGGCTTACACAATACAGGCGGAATAGTCCAACAGTGGCTGTCTGCTTGATGGAGAGGCTGAGAACTCCATAGCTGCTTCATCCGCAAGGCTGGATGCCTCGTTAGTTCCAGTCTGGAGCTGAAGTCCTCAAGGATACCTGGAGAGCTGCTGGTCTTTAGTCCATGTTGCAAGGCCAAAGAAACTGGGCTGTGATGTCAGTTGAGGCAGGCGGCCACGGCAGCGATAACAGTAGGCGCACTGGTCCACGAGGAGCGAAGGCAGGCGGCCACGGCAGCGGTAACAGTAGGCGCACTGGTCCACGAGGAGCGAAGGCAGGCGGCCACGGCAGTGATAACTAACAGTAGGCGCACTGGTCCATGAGGAGCGAAGGCAGGCGGCCACGGCAGCGGTAACAGTAGGCGCACTGGTCCACGAGGAGCGAAGGCAGGCGGCCACGGCAGTGATAACTAACAGTAGGCGCACTGGTCCACGAGGAGCGAAGGCAGGCGGCCACGGCAGCGGTAACAGTAGGCGCACTGGTCCACGAGGAGCGAAGGCAGGCGGCCACGGCAGTGATAACTAACAGTAGGCGCACTGGTCCATGAGGAGCGAAGGCAGGCGGCCACGGCAGCGGTAACAGTAGGCGCACTGGTCCACGAGGAGCGAAGGCAGGCGGGAAAGGCAGCGATAACAGTAGGCGCACTGGTCCACGAGGAGCGAAGGCAGGCGGCCACGGCAGCGGGGCTCCTCACCCACCCCCCACCCCACCCCACCCCCGTTTATGTTTATTTTGTGTTGTTGTTTGTTTTTTGACAAGGTCTCTCTACACTACATAGCCCTGACTGTCTTGGAGCTCATTTTGTAGACCAGGCTAGCCTCAAACTCAGAGAGAGAGATGTGCCTGCCTTTGCCTCCAGGGTGCTAGAATTAAAGGCATGCACCACCATGCCCAGCCTTCTTTCTTGGACTTCTTTGTATCTGGGCCCAGTGCTCTGAACTGACCACTCATAGAGAAACTGACATCACCAGACGTTACAAGGGGCCTCCCAGCATTCTCCACAAATACAACCCTGCCCTCCTTGGGGGAGGGGCTTCCTTACTCAATTGCTGCTTCCCAGAAGAGCCTCTTAGTTGATTCTCATCCACTCAAGCTGGCGACCAGGATTAATCTTCACTCCCCCAGAGAGGGCGGTTGGTTGCTGGAATGGAAGTCATGAGCGTAAAAGGCGCCAGCCTGTGCACAGTCTGTGGAACGCTATCTTGTTATCACTCACTGACTTATACTATTTCTCAAAAGCCCCCTAATCACAGGTCAGTTTGTTGTTAGCCAATGAGTCTTTTCATTGCATACATGTTTATTGGAGGTTCATTCTACCAGACTCTTCCTCCAGATGTTAATGCATCTAGATTCTAGATGCTGACCTGAGCACAGTGCAAGGCTCTTTAGCTCATTGGTCCAAGGTCATCTTTTTTTTTTTTTTTTTTTTTTTTTTTTTTTGGTTTTTTGAGACAGGGTTTCTCTGTGTAGCTTTGCACCTTTCCTGGGACTCACTTGGTAGCCCAGGCTGGCCTCAAACTCACAGCGATCCGCCTGCCTCTGCCTCCCGAGTGCTGGGATTAAAGGCGTGCGCCACTGCCGCCGCCCGGCCCAAGGTCATCTTTTGATAACTGTTCCTTTCCTTCATATGCCCGGAGCCAGGGCCTTGTTGGGAGCTACCTGTCCCCGACTTCTCTGTGCTCCAGAGCAGCCCGGCATTTGTCCTGTGTTTCTAGCCTGGTGGTGTCTTCAGTACCACCAGTTGTCCACAAGGGGCTCCATTTCAGGGGTCCAGCCCTGCTCCAGTTCCCTGGAGTCCCTAGCCTGTGGGGGTACTCGGGAATATGCAGTTCCTGATGTCAAGATAAGACAGAGGGACTGGGTGGCTGCCCCAGGCCTCCCTTCCTTACGTCTTCTCCTCCATTTAGGATGTGCCCGATATTCCAGATCTCCAATGTCACAGGCGAGAACCTTGATCTGCTCAAGATGTTCCTCAACCTCCTGTCCCCCCGCACCAGCTACAGGGAGGAAGAACCTGCCGAGTTCCAGATAGATGACACCTATTCTGTCCCTGTAAGTGCCTCCGGGTGGCAGGCACTTCCTGCTCTGTCCTCAGTGAAGGAGTCTGTGATGGGAATAAGCTTAACAGGCTGGGGTCTTCTTCTTGGCAGGGTGTGGGGACAGTGGTGTCTGGGACCACGCTGAGGGGCCTGATCAAGCTGAATGACACACTGCTGCTGGGCCCAGACCCCTTGGGTAACTTCCTGTCCATCGCTGTCAAGTCCATCCATCGCAAGCGCATGCCTGTCAAGGAGGTGAGGGGGGGCCAGACAGCCTCCTTTGCCCTGAAGAAGGTGAGTGAGGATAGTTCTAGAAACTCTCCTTGAATTCTCTTAAGTCCAGTTCTGTGGCTGCATTGCAAGGTTACTGACCCTTTTCTCATGGAGGAGGAGACTGAGGTCACAGCCTAGTAACCTTTCCAAGCCAGGGCTCATCCGGGACTGTTTGTCTCCTGAGCTCGGCTCCTGCCTTTGTGGCCTGAGCAGTAGTCACTGTCACAGTACAGTCGGATAGGAGTGTCCCTCCTGTGCACAGTACCGCCCTCTTAAGCTTAGGATGGATGGGATCTGTGCCCCATACTCTTCCATGTCCTGGGGCTGGGGGTGAGCACTAGCTCTGGAGTTACCTACCTTCCTGTAAGCCAGAATGACCAGGACAAGTGGGATCTGGTTTGTCTTCCCCAGTGGTGAAGTTTGCTCTGGTTTCTTCCACCTGAACACTGGCTTGCCTACCTGTGCTCCTGGCTCTGTCAGGGCTGCAGCTGGAAAGCTGAGTTTCTGGGCAGTCTCTCCTGCCTCCTGGCTCTGTCAGGGCTGCAGCTGGAAAGCTGAGTTTCTGGGCAGTCTCTCCTGCCTCCTGGCAGCCGTGTTGAGCTTGCTACACAGCACCAAGGCTGCCTTGTACTGTCTGCATTAGATGGTAGTGAGAGGTGGGGCTGTTGCAGTGGTTCCACTCCTGGAGAGACAGCTTGATCTCTAGGACCAGGCTGGGTAAACTGAAGGAAACCATGGTCCTTGAGCTCTGTGTTCTCCTTTTTCCTTTCAGATAAAGCGCTCATCCATCCGGAAAGGCATGGTGATGGTTTCCCCACGCCTGAATCCCCAAGCCTCCTGGGAATTTGAGGCTGAGATTCTTGTCCTCCACCATCCCACCACAATTAGTCCACGTTACCAAGCCATGGGTAGGTGTCCAAGGTCCTGCCAGCCTCAGAGCTTGTGTACTAGCGTCCTCTCAAAGGAGCTCCGCAATCTAAGCCCAAGGCTTCCAACTCCAGGCAGGGCAGTTCTCTATCCTGGTTAGCCAAGCCATTCCTTTAGCTCAGCCCCTGAGCAGCACTAATTGTTCAGTCCTACAGATGCTCTGAGACCGAGACCTGTCCTCAGGGACCACCTGCCAAAATCTATTCAGCTGTGTGCCTGGTGGGATCGTCAAGGTGCTAGAAACAGTCCTGTGGGAAGGCATGTGTACACACAGAGGCACTCAGGCTCTGCCACATAGGCCTAGGGAGGGGAGGGAGGGGAGGAGGCAGGATCAGATCTGAGAGTAGGCTACACCGAGGTATCTGGTTCTCAGAGTTCTTGTCCCGTCTTAGAGAAACAGCTCTAGCCTGAGGCCACAGGGTAGGTCATGCCTGTCCTGACTCTGGTTCTCTTGCCAGTACACTGTGGGAGCATCCGGCAGACAGCTACCATTCTGAGCATGGATAAAGACTGTTTGCGCACAGGAGACAAGGCCACTGTCCACTTCCGCTTCATCAAGACCCCTGAGTACCTGCACATAGACCAGCGGCTGGTGTTCCGGGAAGGTCGCACCAAGGCTGTTGGCACCATCACCAAGGTATGATTGGCAAAGCCTTACCTGCCCAAGGAAGCTTCAGTATGCTCTAGTCCAGTACCCAGGAGCCAAGCTCCTCTTGAGAACCCAGGAGTCATCTTCATTCTGGGACAGAGGCATGGTTCCTGCTCTGGCAGAGCTGAGCCAGTACCAGGAGATGGCTCTGGTGATGTCTTTGCTTCCCCAGGAGTTGTCCTTAGGCCCTCCTGTCTTGGGCTTTGGAGGCTGTCTTGAAGGAGAGAAGGTGGCATTGGGGTATGGTGCTCCTCCATAGGGGACAAGGTGTCTGTAGACCTCTGAGGCACTACCTCTGGGTCCTGGGGCTTGCTTGGGTCTATGCCTGAGGGCTTCCCACAGCATGGGAGAGCCATTTGGAGTGAGTCCTGGGTTTCATGGGGACACGGTTGGAAGGTCCCACAGCATGGGAGAGCCATTTGGAGTGAGTCCTAGGTTTCATGGGGACACGGTTGGAAGGTCCCACAGCATGGGAGAGCCATTTGGAATGAGTCCTGGGTTTCATGGGGACACGGTTGGAAGGTCCCACAGCATGGGAGAGCCATTTGGAGTGAGTCACGGGTTTCATGGGGACACGGTTGGAAGGTCCTATGGTGCTTGAGTTGTTTTTCCTGGAACCACCTTTTGCCTGCTGTAGACCTCTTCCATAGTTTTGGGTAGGACATTTGGTAGAGGATTTGACCCCTGCCTATATAGAGGAAGACATGGTTTCCATGTCTGAGACTGGAATGAACCTCAGACTGGCTTTTCTTCCTGAGACGCTTCCCTCGGGCCTGTCTTCTTGACAGTGTGGTAGAGGCTACAGCACCCACTGTGGTGTTCCACGGTGGTGTTCCACTGTGGTGTTCCACGGTGGTGTTCCACTGTGGTGTTCCACGGTGGTGTTCCACTGTGGTGTTCCACGGTGGTGTTCCACTGTGGTGTCCTGTGGAACCCAGCCAGTCTTCTTTCCTGCTGTGTTTGAGATTGAACTTGGGCCACAAGGAAGATTCTGAGTCAGTTGCTCCTAGATGGTAGCTTTTATGGTTCCTGATGGGCATTTCTTTTGTGTCTTCAGGGGCCTGAAGTTAAAGCATGGTCCAAAGCAGTGCTGGGCAGCCCAGCCCCTAGCGCGGGAGTAGGGCGGCAGAAGTTCAGAGGGCTGGAGCCTTCCTAGGCAGAGAGGCAGGACGTGAGACGTCTGCACCAGTGCTGTGGTAGTCCTGGCCTCAGTGGGAGTGGGAAGGCCTCTTTGCTCTGCCTCCTGAGGTGGCCTTTCTGCCATCTGCTTCGCTCAGAACTGGGCAGGCAGCTCTCACATCATGCTATCCACTTGGCCTCCACAGCTCCTCCAGACAACCAACAACTCCCCCATGAACTCCAAGCCCCAGCAGATTAAAATGCAGTCCACAAAAAAGGGCCCCCTGAGCAAACGAGAAGAAGGAGGTCCATCTGGCATGCCAGCGGCTGGGGGGCCCCCAACTGGAGATGAAGCTTCCTCTCTAGGGACTGCACAGGCTGCTACATCCAGTGGTCTCCAGCCACAGGTAAGCAGGGCCTCTTACAGTCTCCAGCATGCTGGTGGGAGGGGCGGGACTGAGAATCGAACTGGTCCTCATTGGCATTTGGTTTTAATGAAATAAAGAATAGAAAAATGTCAAGGTTCCCCTTTTTGTTGTTTTGATTTTTTTTTTTAAAGACAGGATCTCACTCTGTAGGGCAGACTGGCCTGAAATTGACTCTGTAGGTTAGACCAACCTTGAACCTAAGGCAGTCTTCCTCAGCTTTTCTGGTGCTGAGATCACAGGCCTGAGCCACCACACCCGGCCAAGGCTTCCCTTTGATAGTACGGATGGATATATTTGGGTTCTAGTGCTGTGTGTGGCTGAGATCCAACACACCTGAGAGACACTGCCTTGGAGCTCCTTCCGCACCTCTCCCAGCATGAGGAACCCTTGCTGGGTCGTTGTCCCTCCTGTGCGTCAGACTTGGCTCACCTGCCTATTCCTCAGTTCTTGCTGACCCAACAGGCCCAGTCTCCTCGCCCTATGCCTGTCCCGTGGCCTCCTCTCTGGTCTTGTTGGAGCAGGCTTCTGAGTCTGGTACTGTCGCACAGTCCCAGTGCTAACTCTCCCTCCTCCCCATGCGCTCCTCTTCCCTCTCCTTGTGCGCCCCGTTCTGTGGTTTCTGAGCCCCTCTCCCAGTGAGCAGTGATGCATGTGGACTCCTGTTCCCTTTGTGCTTCTCTGACCAGGCCCCCCCCCCCCCCCCATTACCACACATAGCCACACGACCAGGAAGACTCCATTTCCCCTTGGAAACTCCTGACTAGGTCAGGGCTACTACATGGTCACTGCCTGGCCCTGCTTTAGCGGACCACCGTTTCTCAAGTGCCTGCTTTCTTTCCTTTTAGCCCAAGCCCAGCAGTGGGGGCCGGCGACGAGGGGGCCAGCGCCACAAGGTGAAGTCCCAGGGGGCCTGTGTGACTCCTGCCAGCGGCTGCTGAATATTCCCCTGGTCCACTTGACCACCCATGGGATCCTCACTCTGGCTACTGCTCACCAGCTGGGCAGAGCATCTTTGACCGCCACCCGCCCACTCCAGCCCACAGCCAGAGCATCCTTGTTGCCACACCCCCATTTTCCAGGGGGCGATTATAATTTATAAGATGAGGATGGACTAGATGTCTGAGGACTGACCATCATCTCCCACCTGCCTCCTCCCTTACTCACGTCTTTCGTACATCTGGGCCCTTAATTTCTATTCTTTTTATTATATATCTCTGTCTTGTATGTGTGTGCGTGTGCGTGTGCGTGTGCGTGTGCGTGTGCGTGTGTGTGTGTGTGTGTGTGTGTGTGTAGGGGGTGTGTGCAGGAGTGCAGCTGACCCTGTCAGTCTCCGTTTCAGTCCTGGCTGACCACTAGCCTTCAAGAGCTGCCCCCTGTCCTTCCATCCATCTGTATCTGTCTCAATGAGATCCTCAGAGCCTTTAGGGAACCTCAGGAGCCCAAGGCACCTCTCTTCCCTGGCCAGTTGCCCCTCTTAGCTAGAAGCTCTTCTTTGGCTTAATAGCTTGTGCCAGAGCAGGGATCCCCCAATCTAAGATTTGGGGAGTTTAATGGAAAGTGGTGGCCTCCCCTATCTCTCCTTTTCCCTCCTAAGCTCCCAAGCAGGTAATGCCAAAAGCTCTTCAGTGGCACCTGTGATCTGTAGAGGGCATGGTGACTGCATTATAGGATTGCCCATCCTGACTTTTTTGTTGTTTTTTTTTTTTGAGACAGGGTTTCTCTGTGTAGTCCTGGCTGTCCTGGAACTCAATCTGTAGACCAGGCTGACCTCGAACTCACAGAGATCTGCCTGCCTCTGCCTCCCAAGTGCTGGGATTAAAGGCATGCGCCACCACCGCCTGGCTGCCCACCCTGATTCTTGACCCTTGCAGTGGATCCAAAGAACTGGGTGGGCTTACCCTTGGAGACAATCCTGGGCTTGCCTGGCTGGCCCTGGCTGCTCTGGCTTCTGTACCCGCTGGAGGCTCTTCCTGTTTCCACTTAGATCTCTGGCTGAACCTCAGAGCGTGGGGTACTAGACTGGGTCTGGGCCTTCTTTGAATCGGGTTTTATAGTACCTCCTTTTGGTGGGGGAGGGGAGATGCTTCTCTGAGTTGAACCAGGACTAGAAACCCTCCTTTCCCACATCACCCCAACATAGCTGCTACAGCCATGGCATCACAGCAGTGAAAGATCTGAGCCCAGATGTCCCATTGGGGTGTGTAAGGGCAGTGGCAGTAGAGAGTCTTCTAGGCCATCAAAAGCACTGCTGCTGGGGGAGGGTGGCGAGCCCTGCACCCTGACCTCAGGCTGGGGTGCTCCTTCTCAGCCAGGACACACCCAGCTGGCTGGGTCCCTCTTCAGCCCCACCTCCCTCCCAAGCTCTCTCTTGTCCTTTGCTCCTGACCGCTCTTACCGCCCTGCCCTTCCTTCCAGCAGTTTCTAGTTACCACTGCCCCGTGGCCATGGACTGACCAGACCAGCATTCACAATAAAAGTTTGTTCTAAGTTGACAGTGTCATGTTCCCTGCCCGGCCCTCCAGGGGGAGGTGCTTGCTGCATCGGGACACTGGTTCTGCCTGCCCTGGACACCTGGCAGCCCAGGGGAGTGGGGCCTCCAGGAGCCCCGCTTCCGCAGGTGCAAATGCTCCGCCAGCTACCTTTGAACCCCACTTTCCTCCTCACACAGATCCCCCGCCTCCAGGTTGTGTGGATTCGTTGAGAGTGTGAGGGAGACAGGTGTTCTGGACAGGCTGAACGCAGTGTGGTGCTGCTGTGGGTGGCCTTGCTCACTCCACAGCTGGGCGGTCACTGCTGCCGCCTCCGAGGTGGACAACACTGAAGCTCAGGGAAGGGAAGGGCTGTCTCCAGTGGGTTAGTTCCTACTCACCCTACAGCTTTTCCCAGCCAGCTGGAGGTTCACCTGTTAGTGGCTCTGGCTCGCTTAGGCTGGTGCCTTTGTAGTAACGGGACTACAGCATGGTGGCACGTGGCACAGAGGAGGCTGTGACTTCCTACAGCCTGGGCCACAGTAGACCTCATTGCATCCTAACTGTACCCCTGTAAGCAGTAGTGGTCACTAGAACTGTTCAGGAGCTATAACTACCACTCTGGCCTCAGCCCCTCAGGGAGGTAGGTCTGGGTATGGCCAGAGAAGCTGACTGAATTCAGCGTTGAACTGTCATTAATAGGGACTACAAAGGTCCCTGCAGAACTCTCGGCTCTCCATTTAGAGAAAACACCAGCCCATTTGTAGTCAATCAAGAATAAAGTTGTTAGTCTGTCAGTCTCATAAAGACAAGACCCCGCCTTCTGAATGTACAACTTGAGTGTGCCGCATCTTTTCTAGGACCGAGTCTGTAGGGTGGGGTGGGATGGAGGTGACCAGGTCCGCACGTCACATGCAGCAGCTGTCCAGGCTCATTGGTGCCTGGCACTGAGATGATGTAACAGGAATGTGCCATGGTGCAGGGGGGCATCTGGCTGGGTTGGGGTTAGGGAGACAACTTTGTGAGGGTCAGTGTGAGAGGCCCAGAGGATTTGAATGTGTTCAGGTGGCAGAGGCACTGAGCCCTGATGGTGTGTGGCAAGTTACTGGACTGTTTGTTGGGGCCCTTCCTGCCCGGTGGTGTCTGTTTTGTGGAAAGGAGTTTGAGTACAGATCGTGTCCCTGGGCTCTGGGCCAACTTGTACTCCAGCCAGCGCCCTCTCCTGCCTGCTGACCAGTTCTTGTTTTTATTTTCTCAGCTATGGTGAGAACCAGCTCTGGGCAAGATGCCATGGTCAGTAGGAGGCACCTCAGCCCTGGTGAAGTATCACCCTGAGCTGAATCTAGGCAGCCATCAGGGCCTCTCCCCCAGGCCCTGGCAGATCCTGGCAGACCCTTCAGGAGACACCTCCGTAAGCCTGAGGCTCTCTGCCTTTGTTTATGCAGAGACAGGGAAGTCCTCCTCCTCAGGGTACTCTTGATGACATTGCCTAAAGTCCTCGTACTCCCTCCTGCCAGCCCGCAAATCCAGAAACACTGGAGTGGACCTTAGCTGGGGTTCCAAGTTCATCCCAGTGGATTCTAACCAAAGGCCTGGGTTTCTGCACATTAGGACCAAGTCTTTGGGTATAGTGCTTTGGCTAAGAATTCAGTCCCTTGTATCTCCAAGAGCAGCTGAGTTGCTCTGTGACAGCCAGAAAAAAAGCAGAATCCACTGATCCTGGGCATCCTTTATTTTTGCATAGGCATAAATTAGTCTGGAGAGGGTTTTGTTTGTTTAAAAAAGAACCACAGTGCAGCATCTGTCACAGGAGAGCGAGAACGAAACAAGCCCCAAGGGCAAGGCTGTGCAGGCTGCCCCTTCCCAGAACACCTAACGGCTCCTGCTTGCCCCTGCCTGGCAGCTCCCCCTGGCCTTTCCCACAGGCCAGGACCTAGGAACTGAGTAACAGCTGGTACCCCTCAGAACGGGGCTAGGAATCAAGGCTGGAGCTTTCCAGTTAAACCAGACCTTGAGAATTCTATGTATAGTACAGCAGGCCATTCAGTCTAAGACTTCCTCCTCCTCACACAAGGGAACTTCTGCCCAGCTGCCCCCCTAGAGAAGGCGTCAGAAAGGAAACGGAATCTAAGAGCTGAGAGCCCAAGGGGGTTGCTTTAGAGTGGGCAGGACCCTCACTAGGGTCTCATTAGATGGGATAGCCTAGTGTAGCCTCTCCACCTGGCACCTTGAGCCACACCGTGGCTATTGGCACTGGACCAGGAGAGCCCACAAAGTCGTTTCCCCTCTTCTAGGCTACCCTGATGGAATGGCCCCAAAGAGCCTAGGTCCTCCCCTGGGGGAGTGGAAAGCTTGCTCTGGAGCACAGGCGGGGTGCAGCAGGAATGAAGTAGAGTAGACCCTCATCCCACATCGGAAGAAAAAGCAATGGTCCCCAGCACTGGGGATCGTCTAGGTTGGCACAGACAGCAGTCCTCAGAGGCACACAGGAGCTGGTACCCCCAGGATACAAGAAACCCTAAGGGCCCTGTGGGCCATGGTACCTGCCACGCTAGAAGAGCACAGCAGCCTGAGTCCTTTACCAGGCATCTGCCAGAGACAATCTCCGCTGCACAGTGCTGAGCACTGTCCTAAAAGGCCACAAGACCCCCAGCTCACCTCCCTGGGGCTCTGGCTTAGTGTGGCCATGGCTTTGGCACCTACCAGGAGCTCCCTGGTGCCAGTCCCTCCACCAAATATAGTCTCACTTCCTGACTCCTAGTCCTCCAAAGTATGCTACATATATACACCCTGGCAGGCGGGCGCCTAGCTCTAGAGGAAGGACTGAGAGGCACGGGGCCTGTTGGCAACCTCAGGCTGCTTGGCTGTGCAGGGAATCCTACACGTGCTGCCTTTGTTCTTGCTCCTGGAAGTCAGCGCTATCAAGCATGTGCGGGCAGTGGTGCGGTGCTGCGCACCCACTCAGCGCAGGGGTGGATGCTGGGAAGGCTGAGCCTCCCAGGTGGCTAGCAGTAGGCACGAGGTCTCAAAGGGCTAGTGGGCAGGCTCTCCATGCACCCGGAAGCGGTAGATGCACGTGTACTCAGGGTGGCCCCAGTTGGTCAGGATCCGGAGCTCCACGACTTGGTATGTGGCCATCTTAGAGGCCTAGGTAGAGAAAGAAGAGGGATTCAATGTCACAGCGTCCCTTGACACCTCACCAACAGAAGGGACTGGGGGGAGTCACTCCGGCAGCCAGGTGTCTCCTCCCCTGGGGCTCAAAATAAAAACAAAAAAACTGAATTTCTAAAGTTTCTATTTCCTGGAACAAAGTTTCTAGGCCAAAGGCCCTGGGGGACTTCAGGGTTCCTAGGGCTACTACACATGTGAGTGGGCGCGCACACACGCACACAGAGAGAGAGAGAGGGGGGGGGGGGAACACCAACCAAAGAATTGGAATGAACTGAGCCCTATCCCTCGCACCAGAACCTGCCTCTGTCCTGGAAGACTGGATGCCCTCTATTTAGGCCACATGCCCTGTCTGAAACTGGCTGAGTGCACACTGACAATCTTGAACATTCATCCTAGTTACATCCTTGTCACAACCCTTCTTTAATAAAACTCACTTCAGCGGAGCCCTGCTCAGGAAGCTCTGGATGCTGCCATTTGTCATTGACAGGAGAGTCGTGTCTATCCTATACCCTGAACTAAGGCAGGATGGGAAGATGGATCTCTGAACCCTGTGCCTGGCAGTGCCAGTACTGGGAGATGTCTGCTGTTGAACGGGGGTGGGGGTGGGGGGAGGAGGTGCACTACCCCATAAGCACGCAGTCCTGTACCTGGAAATAGAAGGTCTGGATGGGCTCCCCATCCTGGTCATAGGCAAATGTGCCAAGAAGTGTCCCTTCCTGCTGCAGGTCTTCATCAAAGCCCTGCAGAAAAGCATGCAGGAATGCGGGGGTCAGGGAAGGCCACTGCGCTCTCACCTGGTGTCTCCACTGCAGCCTCAGACACCCTCCCCCTTTTATCCCCACACAGAGCAGGTACTCACAAAGATGGCGAAGTCCTTGGGAGCGCTGGAGATCGTGCTGTTGGGGGACAAGGCCTTGGGCACATGTTCTAAAGTGACAGCTGTGGGGCGGATGCGGGCAGAGAGGCGGACCACAGCAAAGCCCTGAGGCCCCTGGAAGGCCCAGCAGTTGCCTGGGTGCACATCTGGCTGGAGAGGGTGAAAGGCATGTCAGCTCAGGGGCTTCAATACAGGTCTGGCTAAGATAGGGGCATCCCCCACTGTGTTCAGAGTGCACTGGGCCCTCACAGATTACCCACCTGGAGGATGACTCGGGGTGACTGGGAGTGGTACCACAAGGGGATGCCAAAGAGGCTGAGGAGGGCCGTCTTAGTCTCGTAAGTCTCGGAACACCGGGTACTGATAACACTGGCTCCTGTCACAGCAAAGAAAGGTTTTTAAACTCATAGTGGGGAGGCCCAATAAGCTCCGTGGGTTCCAAGACGGAGGAGCTATTGTCTGTCTCCTCCCTGAAGCCCAGCCCTTAGTTCTAACCGAGATTCACAAGGCCTCTCCCAGCCAGGGATGCCACTCAGTGCCTCATGGCTTCCCTCAGCTGCCTCTGGCCTTGGTTGGGAGTCGAGGTTGGGTGTCTGGTTGGTACTGGCCCCAAACCCTGGCTGCTTAGCTCTGTGCTGCCTGGCAGACTCGGGGCCTAGCCATTGTGGTGAAGGCAGCAGACACACCTCCTGATTCCAGGGCGTAGTCTACCATTCCAATACGGTCCTCACTGTAGCGCTGCAGGGCCTGCTTGACGATCCGGTGCACTTGCTAAAACAAGTCCCAAGGAAGAGAGGAGATGTGAATGGGGCACAGACATTGCATGCATACCCATGGACTGACCGTACTAGACTAGCACCAGTGGTACCCAAGCCGGTCTTGTACACCTCCACCACCCACACTTGGCCTGGAACATACGCCCAAACCTCCAGCCAGGAGGGTCCACCACTTAGGTCCTAGAACGTACGAGGAGCTG